CATAAAATAAATTCTAGTTCTGTATGCGTGCTGTATCACAGGGTTCGATTCCTGACGAACCTCTTTCCTCAGTATGCGAGAGACAGAGAGAGAGAGAGAGAGAGATCTATATTTATAGATAGATAGATAGATATATCTATATATATAATCCTAATTCTGGCCTGTTTCACATTGTTTTACTTTCAATTCTTTGCTGAGAAAAACGTATTACTTACTTAAGAAAATAATGTAGTTAAATGTAGTTAAAATAATACATTGCTGTTGTGAAAACAACTTCAACAGTTGCAAAGTCTTGTCAGAATAGTGGGGAACATTCAGACAAGACTCAAAGACCCGTTGAAGGCTCACATGTTGAATGTGAAGGTCCTGCCATCAGCCCCAATCTCTTTTCTGGCTATATTTATTCATAGTATTGAACAGATTATAACTAATATTGTCATTTGCAAGTGTAATAAATGATTGGACTTTGTGACAATGTTAGATTTGTCCAAAGCAATTAAACTGAAATCTGAATAGGCCTTTTTCATCTTCTTATCGTCACATCTTCATCGTCCCACCCCCCTCCACTTAAAGTAGCTCCTGACATAATTAAGACTCAATAGCTTGAACAAACAGTTCATAAAAAGTATCACCAAAAGTCACTTTGTTTCGTTAATAACTTTGAAAAGCAAGTATCAACCTGTTCAAATTTTTTTGTAATCCCTACCCTAGCAGGAACAAACAGCAAGGAGAAAATGACTTTGCTTCACTTTATTTGCAACAGTAATTACTGTGAAGGTGTTTTCAGCTCGAATCCTAATTATATTGTAAAAGTCCAACTCCTCTGAGACAATAATCTGTCAAATGAAGGATGGCGAGTGATGAAATGCAAACAGAATGTAATTCCTGAAATTATAATAAACCAAGCCATGGAAATATCGTACATCTGAAGGAAAAAGCCACGAAACGTCCGTTCACTGGAACATTTCTGAAAGAGTTCAATTTTACAAATCCTATAAACAGGTTCGTATTTTAACCAGTACTTTATGTGTCAAGTCCATTATCTTTATAATGACACGAGCTGACGGTGTGTGTATATTTGTAAAATAGACTAATAGCTGCAAGTGTGACAGAAAACTGTGTTCACTGCCCGTGGAGTTCTATAAATGCCACTCCCAGTGTGCTCCAATAATTTGAAAGTCAGCTGTGCTATACCGTACTGTCAACTCGTTGCAGAGGCAAATGTTACAGCAGCCTGGTGTGACTTGTGAAAAACGATCTTGTCCTTGATATGCCCCAAGAGGCTTCCATCAGATCCGATTGCAGTAAAACATCTCAGTTATAAGTCGTCACCTCGGTGTTGACATGATGTTGTCTGGCTCATATTCAAAGTGTTGTCAATATCATATGTCATGTACATTTTTAGTTTGACCATTTTTAAAAAATTATTAAGAAATCATGTAAAAATGATTTGCCACAAAACTATCACCAAAACGCAAGCAACATGTGGTCTACTCATGGCAAAAAAATGTTTTCAAGCAAGGCATGCGGAGTCTGGTGGGCTGCGGGCAAGCAGCTGTGTGTATCTGTGGGTGTTAGCGTCGGTGCGTGTGCCTCTCTGCGTGCAACGTCCGAGTATTCTCATGTTTATTTATGTGGCTGTTTGTCAGGAAAAAAAAATGTTCATTTTGTGTATGTACAAATTATAATGCATACAGTGACTGCACAGTATTTTTTAATAGTGCAGGTTTTTTTTTTTTAGATTGAATAAACAATTGCAGTGTCTCAAACAACATATAAGGGGGTCCAGGTTTTCATATTTACACTCAGTTCGTTCCTAACACCATCCTCTGAGGGAATCATTAGAACTACTGTATGTTTTTTTTTCTTCGGATGTCGGTGTTCCTTTATTGACTTTTGAGATGGAGACAGCAGCAAACCCATTCCCTCTGGTGGAATATTGATCCTAGAGTGTGGCATTTAACAGCGAGGAGCACATAGTGTGACCGCCATACCTCACTCCACAAACCGAGTTTTTTTCTGGGCCACAGGGATGATTTCGACCACAATTCAGCATTCAGAAAACTACCCACTGCCGGTATTTGAGTCGGATCCAATAAAACTATCTCCAATAAGTATTTAATCAAGGGTGAAAAATACAAGTTGAATAAATGTATCATCATTTATGATGTATGTGAAGATGATCCCTTTGACAGTACTGTATACATTAGTGAGTTAAAATGAAATGTTTTTGTTGAATTGTTATGTTTTATAGCTACTTTCTTCAAAATATTGTTTGGGGTGTTTTTTTTTTGTCATCCATGCAGTCTTGCTCATGTTTCATATAAAATATACATTTTACAATTTATTTTACATTTTGACCAAGCTATGTAAAATACATAAATGGCCATTATGAGCAATATGTTTGATTTTAAACGAACAAAAGTTTAAAATCAATTAGAGGAGCCTGTTTTCATTATATATTGTATTTGGTGAGAGTGGCCAGTATTCGGTTTGCTATAAACCTTTCATGATTTCTGGTTTGTTATTTTTATATATTAAGATTTACTTTCATTTATAACTCATTAGGGATGTCTTGAATTTGTCTTCCACTTTTTCTCAGTTGCTTTACAGTTGCAGTACATTTCTTAGATCACACTTGAAATTTGGAAAAGAGTTTCTCAAAACAATTCATACGAATAGCAAGACATCATAGTTACCCTGAAAAAGCTATTTTCTTTCTCAAAATCTTTTCCCAAAATGTACTCATATTTGAGTCACTGAATATAGCGAAAAAAAAAACCAAAAGAAAAAAAAAAAACAACAAGTGTTGTGTAAGAATGAGATGGCCAAATTGATTAGTCATGTAACTAATACAGGTATATGTACTCTGGAAGGATGTTCTGATGCAAACTGCCGCTTAAGTTTCAATGACATATTCAGTACCTTGGCCTGAGAGTGAAAGCTTCATTTCCTGTATGTGAATTATGCCAATTTGTTCAGCTATTGTGCATGTAAAGACTTGCCCAAATCTGTGAAAGAATGAAACAGAGTACCATTGTCATCCATTTCGATCATGACCTAACCAATAAGATGTCGGAAACTCTGAAAAAGGTCCAAAATGATTTGCACGCGAGTAGCAAAGCTTTCGCTATTTGCTCAAAGAAATGATAAACTGCTTTTTTTGAGGTGCACAAGTGACACAATAATGTGAAAATTTAACACGTAGTTTTGAAAAATTCAATTCTGATCTGAGAAATGTACAAAAGTAATTGAGAAAAACTGTCAGCAGCTTACATGTTATGTTACTTTATGCATCTACACAATCATACAGTATGTATCACATTTGTTGGCAAGTTTTTTGTACGTAATTTGGGGGTTGGCTCTGCGCTCTCCTCATACGGCTTATTGTTGGAATAAGAGCGCTACAGTCATCCACTCTGTAGTCTTGAGAGTATTATAGGTCATGGGGAAAAAAGGGTATTAGTAAGCATCACAGCATAAAACGATGTACTTTTTGGTCTGTGTATTTAAATGTTCATTAATTTATCAAATGTTTATTTGTTATTATACGATGTACTTTTTGGTCTGTGTATTTAAATGTTCATATTATTTTTAATATTGCTCATGGTAGCTATTTAGCTAGCTAGATAGCTAGTTTAATATTGCTCATGGTAGCTATTTAGCTAGCTAGCTAGCTAGCTAACTAGCTAGCTAGCTAGATAGATGGATACATAGATAGATACATAGATAGATAGATAGAATGAAGAGTTAAATTCTCCTTTCAGTAGTCACCGTCGTGTGAAGTTGTAAACATCACATTTAGAGTTTATATAGAAATGAGATTGAACTGGTGAAATGTCAGCGCGATAAACAGCTGCAGGGGGTGATGGGGATTGATGGGCTGCTAACCCCTCATTTGTCGCTCTACTGAAACACCTCACTTACTCCTTGAGAACCTTATAAAAGACTGGCATGAACACAGCCAGGACATCTGTAAATTCCTTTTTGGTTAGTGGATAGCCTGTGGTTCCCTGCTGAAGTGTAGGTCAACCATATCAGAGAACCAGAATTGGGAACATCGATATCTCTCCATGTCTCTTTCTCTCTCCAGCTAATGACTGTCCGTCACCATTGCCGTATACTGTATGTCAGACCTGGTTTCCATGATGTTGTCATAATATCTGTGATATTGTCACTTGCAGTCCATTTTATTGATTTATTTCTTTATTTTTACCACACGAGAAAATTAATAAACATCCTATCAAATTGCTCAACAGCATATTTGTCTGATGTGCAGGATTGCCATGGGATAATGCGGTGTACTGCATCTACAAGTATTTCCCTCCTCAATTTTTAGCTGTTGTGCCATAATACTGAATAGAATAACCAGAATAAATACTAAACATGAAAATGGGGTCGCTACAACAGACTTACCTTCGCATTCAACTGTCTTCATTTCGGTCATCAGCAATGTGCAGTCCGTGTTGCTTTACTCACTACCTGTGACTCTTGAGCATTAAAAAAAACATCTGACTTAAAAATTGCTATTACAGTTAATAATTTTATTATAATGTCACTAGTTTGACCTTGGATCAAATTATATATATTATATTTAAATGTTCATTAATAGCAAACATGTCATAGGATGTGTTACACGGTAATCACCGTACTGTAGTCATCTTAAATTTGTACTTAATCACCTTCGTGATTCGTTCAGATGTAGAAACATGTCAAAAATGACGAGAAAGGGGTCAGCTGTTTTTGATTTTGATTTTGTAAATAGATATGAAGAGGATTTAAATTGTTGTATCGATAGCATGTACATGCATAAAGCATATCAATTAAAATTTAGGTCATAGCACCTGCCCCAGTGAATAGAATTTACAATTGATCCAATATGCTCTTATGCATTAACAATCAATCCTAAAATGATTCATTTTTTTCATGCACATTGCAATTTTATGACAGCATTGACATGCAGCAATATTTCAGTGAATTGTAATTTCTATGAGAAGCTGTTCTTTTAGTTTGTTCTTTAATGAGACAAAGCAGGCTACATCAGGGGGGGAAAAACAGTTTTTTTCTGATAACAACTTCACTCTTACATATATTTGACTGTCACAGACTCCCTTTGTATAACACCACACAAATCAATACAACCAATGGCTTTTTCATGTTAAAAAGGTTGATGGTACTCCTATTTGTTGCATTGAACTGGATGTTTTCGTAATCCAGTACTGCCCCCCTCTTGCTTGTCTAAATTGGCCTTTGACCTGTGACCTTCCCGCGGGGAACGGAATTCACAACAGAAGTATTAATTTCCCCAAAGGATGTCTCTTTGTACATAAACCCTACGGCTTTGCATTTGAGGAACATGCTTTTGTCATTCTTAAAGTACTGTTTTCATGTCCTATTGTTCTCACATACAAAACTGAAAAGAGTCTGTTATATACATCCAAGAAATTTTCCAACATTAAAACCACAGGTTACTTATCCTGCAGTCGAAGCATAAAGAAGATCTACAGTGTGAGTCCAGTTGAAGCCATCTTCATTTCCCCTCGGTCACTAAGTTTACTTTAATAATGCAGTTTAGAAAAATGCCATTTTGAAAGGGGGTGAGGGGGAGATGGGGCATTGTGTTTGTTTTGTTTTTCAGAAATGCTTGCAGTTGGTCAGTCGGCAAAGTCTCACAAACAATGTGAGTATTCCTTTGCGCCGGGGTGGTCCATCACGGGCATGTCCATTTCTTGTATCAGTTTGGAGAAATTGTCTGCCCCTTTGGCTTCAGTCTGTCAGTCTGCAACGCACTTTTGAGATGGAACTGAAGATATATGAAGCGGGACACTCGAAAACTGAGAGTGGAGCTTCCTCTTCATACTGGCCGGTCGACAGCATACTGGCAGGGGCTCAGGTTGGACACAGGATTCTGCACAGTGGGATACGTGAAATTGGTGTGTTGCTTGGCCTTAAGTCGCAGACTAGCCAGACTGGAGTTGCAGGTGTCTCTGTACATATATGGGCCGGCTGTGCCGGCGTACGGGCAAGTGGCTGCCGCTGAGTTGAGTGCCGTTGGGCTGTTGAGATTGTTAAGGTTCCCCAAGTTGTTGAGGCCTGTGCCAGGAACTCCAGCCACCGCCGAGGGCACCATGCTTGAGGCCATGTTCATCGAGGGGATGGAGCTAGGGGGAGAGAACATGGGTTGCGACGACAGGGGGCTTACATTCATCGAGTTAAAGAATGGGAAGCTCTTGGCGGAGAGTTGGCTGCTCGCTAAACTCTTGGTGGCCCAGTTGTTGTACGAGTAACCCGTGTACATATCATCATAAGGTTGCATGAGTCCGTTAAACTGGGCACCAAAGCCATTCTTGCACAATTCGGCCTGTTGATTCCTCTCCCGCTTTCTCCACTTGGCACGCCGGTTCTTGAACCATACCTGAAGAAGTCAAAATAAGAACAAATGTGATGAATCAAATGTCTTAATCCTCTGAAAAGTCGATTTCGGTTGGAGGAGTTTTATATTTCTATATAAACTACTGTATAACTCGGGGGTCGGCAACACGCGGCTCCAGAGCCGCATTGCGGCTCTTTGGCGACATCTAGTGACTCCCATGGAGCTTTATAAAAAATGTTTGAAAATGGAAAAAGATTTTGATAGTAGGCTAATGTAGCTCAAATAGATATAGATACATGTTGCAGCTCCTAAAAAGGAGAGCTATGGTGTTGGTTTTTTTAAAATGTACACTTTATTTATGCTTTTAACAGTCTCGACAAACACAGGCACGTCTGCGTCCGACTCCGTGCCTTCTCTCTTCTCGTTCGACTGGAGAGGCGTTCAAACACAGCCTCAGAAAAACGGAAATGAATGATCACTTCAGTGACACTAAGAAAAGCGAAATTAATGCACCAAAACAAAAAAATCAAGCGAGGAATTTACAAAATAAATTCTATGGGGGCGTTTGTGAACACACAACAAAGGAATAAATAACATAAACAATTCTGAGACAGTCCAACCTCCTACATACATACAGCATGTGTTTCCTTCATTGTAAGTTTTATAGAAGGCTTTTATTTTTTTGCAGCTCCAGACATATTTGTATTTTGGTTTTTTTGTCCTATATGGCTCTTTCAACATTTTGGGTTGCCGACCCCTGGTGTAACTATATATTCTATATCTAACTATTATATATTATATTTGTTGATACAGTATGCAGATGTTTTCCTTTTCTTTTCTGATTGAAAAATGAACAATTTATAAATTATTACAGTACATAACAAGGGGTAGGACTAGATCCGTTTTTTACTTCTTCCTACTCCTTTGAACATACAATTGTGCTGTTTGATGACTGTTTTCCTTTCTTAAAATGTTACTTTCTGTCAATTTATTACTGTATTGTATATGTTGTATGTTCAATAAACAATAAACAAAACAAAACAAAAAAATGTCAATAACTATTGGTCAGAAATGCACAATTTACTCCGTGAGATCAATTCCTTCAATCATAACACTCTGAGGTTAGGTGTCATGACATACAGTACTAGAAAATGAAACAAAACGAAAGCGGTTTCAAATTAAAGGACACCAAAACACAATACCTTGAATGATTACGTTTAAGTATTGTAGTGAAGCTCACACATTTCCATTACGGATATTGTCTAAATCAAGTTTGTGGCAAGTGAAAAATAATAAGAAGAAAATATAGTGGCAGTAGCTCAGCTGAAGAAATGTTAGTCTTCTTCCCAAGCGAGGCACCAAACATCCAAACTTCTCATCAATTTGGCGTCCCTCCCCTTTCCGTATCCTAGATGTGTGTGTAAACGTTTGATTCTTTGTGTGTATGGCCATCATCACTCATGAGGTCTCTGAGCTCTCGAGCTTGACTTCCTGTGTCGATGTAAATGAACAGACATTTGTATGACATAGTAACTTAACTGCTAAAGCCGTCCTCATCTCAGTCGACTGGTCGAAGGTTAACTCTTCATTGAAAATTGCTGGATGGATTTTATGGATTAAGGACTGTTTTTTCAGAGTTTGTCTGCTAAATCTAGATTTGCATTTTCAAAAGGAGCAGATATTAAATAGCAAATAAGAACGGTACAGGCATTTTCATGCCTGAATGTCCTATTTACAAAGCATCCATTCATTTTTTCCAACTAGCAACTTAAAATGCAATTTTTTTCTATCAAAAACACTTACTAGTCTTTTGGGTCCTCCCTCTTAGTATCAAATCTATTCTGCACGTAAAAGAATCCCATATGACTGAACAATGCAAGAGACCATAACCAGAGTGTCATTCGGGACAAGGTCGATTTGTGTTCTCAATGAAGCCAGCCACCAACCTGATTGGTACCACATTGGTACTCCCTTTCCCATACTGCAATCCTCTGTAAAGTTTTCACTTGGCTTTGTAATTCTCAAAGAATGTCAGCTGGAATAAAGCATGATTCTAAAGCACATGTACTGGCAATCATGGCACCTCCCCAAAAGCTTCAGTCATTTTGTGGGAAAATGTGTCCGTCATTTACTCAAGCGCAACAATCACTATGTAGGCTGGAGCGTATGGTTAACCCTTTCAGGGGACAGCGGTTACTAGAGTGGACAGCTATTCACGTTGTTTTCGCTGATATTAATCCATCTTTATGCCACAGCTGTGCATCAACAACTACAATGGACCCTTATGTGGGTTGCCATCCAGTTTTTTTGTCATGCCTAAAGACGAATAAAAACACTTGAGAAAAAAAATGTTCTAATGTAGGTTATTATTATCTGTGCATGGGGTTAAACAGTCATGTTGGCATGTTTTTTTGAAATGGCCCATCATTTCAGTATAAGGGCAACCTTCATTTTTGTCATTTTATGATCATATATTTAGAGGAGAGGAATTGGATTAATTGCTCAGTTAAAAATCAACAGAGGTGGCATACAGTGGAAAGTTCTATTTTTGAGGATTATTTCACTGCGTCGAGGTATGGTCGGGTTTGTTTTCATAATTTTCATAAAACATGGCCTGAATTAATAAAGACATAAAAAGCAGGAATAGGTAACAAAAGCATAATGTTGACAACGCTTTGTTTCTGGAACAAATGTATTTATAATTATATGAATATCATTGGTTATGGGGAAAAAAATCGTACATTTTGTTTCAGTGCTTACCACCAAGGGTCTTTACTGTGACACCTCTCATCTCCCTTTGCAATCGAGTTTGATGTATCATTCAATCAACTGACTGGTATTATCGTAACAGAACACCGTTGAGCATCAATATCAGCCTAAAGCTTATGACTTTTCCATCTCACTCAGTGACAGTGGGGGAAACCCCCGCTGGAGAACTGAAGCCACTCAACCTTCACAGTGACTCCAAGGCTATGCTGTTTGAAGGTTTCTGGAAAGGGCTAAATGTCAAGGTATTGAGGTTTCTTCTCAACATAAATCTTTATCCTGCTCATCGTGAGTCAATTATTGCACGCAAATAATACATGATTAATAGTTATGGATGCTATATGCAAGAAAGTTCAAAGCGAATGTTAGTTTTAAAACATAGGTCAATGCACGTGAGGTTTAGGTCATGGTCTCAAACTCAAGGCCCAGGGTCCAGATCCGGCCCGCCACATCATTTTATGTGGCTCGCAAAAGCAAATCAAGTGTCAACTTCCATGATTGTCGCTAAATTCTAAACCAAAATGTCAAATTGTCATGCGTAATAAACAACGTTGAGATTTTGCAATAGTTTTAAGGCGTTCACACTCACTAGAACGATAACTGATCAAAAAACAAAAGTATACAGTAGTTGATTGATTTCAAAACTAGTAATCAATTTTTTTTGGTGCGTGTACAAGAATATAATGTGATGATTAAACATTTATTCGGTTTCACTGTTGTAACGCCCCTCCAAGGGAAGACAAAGTGGCCCGCAACAAAAATAAGTTTGACACCCCTGGTTTAGGTGACGCCAAGACAAACTAGAGATGGGCTTTATTATGTGGAAAATTAAGGATCATAAATATGATTCATACACATATTTATATGATGTACAAAGGGGTTGGAGGACCATTTGCCAAATTATCAGAAATCCAGCTTCGATGGCAGAGTTGTACTGATCAGATAATGTGGCTTAGGGTAGTTTGCGTGAAGTAGTATGTACATAATTTCACATAAAATCCTTTTTAGATATCACAGTAATAGCGACTTACTACAAAGTGGTGGTCAGTGGTTACAGCCAAAGACTACAACCTGTTCTGCCTGAGTTGCCTCCAAATGGAATTACTCAATATTCAACCTCACAACGCTGACAGAACTGTTCACACTTTTTATGACCATAACTAACATGGAAGACTAAGATTAGAGGTGAATAGATTGTGAAATTATTTCATTCAGACATAATGGTGCTATCACACCTCTAAGATTCATTCATTCATTTTCTGAACCGCTTTAACCTCCTGAACCGGTTGCCAGCCAATCGCAGGGCACACAGATACGAACAACCATCTACGCTCACACTCAGACCTAGGGACAATTTGGAGTGTTCAATCAGCCTGCCATGCATGTTTTTGGAATGTGGGAGGAAACCGGAGGACCCAGAGAAAACCCACGCAAGCACGGGGAGAACATGCAAACTCCACACAGGAAGGCCAGAGCTGCAACTGAACCCGGTACCTCTGCACTGTGAAGTCGACGTGCTAACCACTCGACTACCGGGCAGCCTACCTCTAAGATTCTCCTGTCTAAATCGATGCTGGCTGTAATTATAAAGTAGCCCTGCAATCGCAGGCCACCTTCGCATTCCCATCAAGAATGAGAGGGCTTCTCAGCCTACTCATTTTTGGATGTGTGTAGATTAATCCAAATGATCTAGTTTATACACTCAGCCTAAACTTAAAAAAAAACAGGTCAAATGTTTTGTTTTGTTATTTTGGAAACTGGACAGCACAAAATGACATTGAATTCCACTATTTTGTTCCATTGCTCAAAAAAATGTTTATAAACAGCTTTTTGCTCAACTACATATCGGTAAATTATGCTTCCAGGTGAAAAGCATGTAAAGCTGCTAAAGCATACGCAGGTGGAACGGATTTAAGAGGCCAATCTGAAATGTGTTGTTCTTTCCGGAAGAACAACTATTAGTGCACGCGTTGTGACTTTTCATCTCATTAATATGGTATTGAGCTAAAAATAGCCAAAATAAAAACAAATATTTGTCATTGATCATTGTAGTCGATGTCATGGATTTGATTGGTTGTTACATCTTCCATTGCTATTGTGTGTCTTTTTGCAGTGGCTCATCTACAGTAGCTGCATTGCTTTAACCGTTACACATTTCTCATCATCTAGACCTGTGTTTTTATACTTTGCCACCCAATTACCTGGAAAATGTTGGTTAATTTCAACAATGATGTACTGTACAGACACCACTTTCTATATTTAAAGAACACCACATTTTGAGCTTGGTATGAATATTCCTGTATGCTGACTGTGTTTCATTGGCTGTCGACTCATCCCACGCAAAATCAATGGAGTTAAATCACTCATCTCTCAAATCACCAGTCACTCATAGACCTGGCACATAGAAACCGAGACATTAACATTCACTCCAAAAGGCAATTAGGAGTTTTCAATTAACTTAACGTTTGGTGGGTATGAAAAAAAAAAAGAAATCTACACACCCCTGTTTAAAGATAAATAATTTTAAAGCGTTTTCCATGACAAATGGAGTTAAAACCTGTGCAGAGTTTAAAAAAAAAAAAAAAAAAAACTTGAGATCATACTGCACACGTAGAACATGCAACTTATACCTGTACAACTCAGTTTTCTCAATTGAGTTGTACAGGTTGTAGGTCAAATTAATGGTTGTAACAGTCCGTTATTATAATACGTTATCACGCCACACAGCGGCGCCTCTTTAATTTATCATGTCAGTGTGACACCTATTTCCGTAAACATCCAAAATGGGAATCGGGTGTACCCGACCGCTGAGTAACGTGAGGTAATTATTTTGTTATGAGTAAACAAGTAATCAAGAAGTCTTTGCTGCTTTGGCTATCAAACAACACATGTCTAGTTACCTCCTCAGCTCACACCATCTAATGCGGAATGGTGGATCTAGGTTTTAATTGATGTTTATCTTAAACTTCTGAACATTTGACCAAGTGTCGACTTTTTGTACTCACTGTACATGCCTTGAAAATCAGATGGAAGCCTGAGTACCTGGAGAGAAACCTTGCAAATTCAAAGAGAACATGCAAACTCCACATAATTTCTCAGAACTCACTGTTCCACCAAAGACAACATTACATCTTAAAGTTCAAACAGTGTGCATAAAATTGCAAAAAAAAATGTTGCATCACCTTTGAGATGAAATCCCCAAAAGAGGCATCTATTCGAAAATGACAGCTGTCTGCATAAATATGAATGGATGGTTGAACACGGGTGATTTTGCCCTGTTCCTGCATTGAATTAAGTGGTGTAGCTATTGTGTGTATTGTGTGAATGAATACATATTAGAGCAAAATGACAAGAGAGCAGCCTGGTGGTCGACTGGTTAACGTGTCGGCCTCACAGTGCAGAGGTGGAGGGTTCGATTCCGGCTCGGGCCGGAGTGGAGTTTGAGTGCAGAGGTGCAGGGTTCGATTCCGGCTCGGGCCGGAGTGGAGTTTCCATGTCCTTCCCGTGACTATGTGGGTTTTCTCCGAGTACTCCGGTTTTCTCCCACATTCCAAAACATGCATGGCAGGTTAATGGAACACTCTAAATACAAAAGAATCTTTATACAAAGGAAAAAATGTAGTACAGTGATATAAGTAAGAAAATGGTAGGTCATGCCATACAGCCTTATACCTACAGGAGCAGTACAGGATGTACTTCTGGGCAAGGCCAAGGATGAATGGTCATGGAGTGGCCAGATTTGTTGTTCAGCACTGTGCCATAATTTCATAAAATGTTTTGTTTGAGACATGATTCAAATGTCTTTTGTGCCAAGGGTGAACTGTTTGGAAAAAAATGGGGCCTGTATGATTTGTGTACCAAAGTGAATCAAGTGGTTAAGTGAAAGTTAAAAAGCATGGGCTCGCACCAAAAATCCCCATTTGCTATTCGCATTGACATTCACGAACAAGTGCATATTAGCTGGAATAGGTTACTCAACTCACTAGGTTGCATTTGCCGAAATACGCTTCATCGTCTGACGAATGAAATAATGGTGATAAAATTGCTCAATGGTAAATAGACTGCACTTATATAGCGCTTCATCTATAACCATACATCGTCCAAAATAATTCAGAAAGCCTCAAAAATCACTCTTTTGAAAACTAGACCAGAGTCTACACCGGCACATTGATGCAGCAGCATCAAGCTATGGAAAGGTTTCAGTAGCCACCAGATCCTTGCCTTGACCCTGGCCAATGATAGAACCCATATTGGATGTTAAAATCAGTCCCGATAAATTATCAACATGCGTACCCACCCTGACCCGTGCCTCTGTGAGATTGGTCCATACTGCAATCTCCTCTCTGGTGCTCATATCAGGGTAGCGGTTCCTCTGAAAGGTGGCCTCCAGCTCCTGGAGCTGCTGGCTGGTAAAGTGAGTTCGCTGCCTGCGCTGCTTCTTCTTCAGTGAGCCGTCATCAGTACTGGATTCATCCAGCTGGTTCGGGTGGGATTTCTCTGTGTCTGCAGTCATATACAGGAGAGTGTGCCCATTAGTGGAAGACCAGCCATTCCATTAGCAGAGTGACTTAACATGTAAACATTCATGCCTTTTAGAACATAGACGTACTTACTACCATATGCTAACAGTATGCAATGAATAAACAGGCGGGCCCCAAAATAGGTGCAATAAGTCAAATCCATGAAGTGACTAGACTGTTCATTTTGTGTCCTGGTCTACAGTGCTAAAAAAATGCTGTATAGCGTCTTTAAGTATTCCCATGATTTATCAGGTTTGTTCTTCCGTGGAGAAAGAAAAAAAAGAGTGCGTTACAGCACAGTGGCTGACAATGCCTGACAAAGCCCGTGAGCTTCAGTGTTTTGATAGAAGCCGCCGTATCCCAAACCCATGTGACTGATTGCCACCAAAGATTAATGGATAGATAAAAATGCAATCATCATAGTCAACAAAACTCACAATATTTTGCATTGTCTTCATGTCATAAGGTTGCCTTGTATATTTTGTAACCTATAAGAATCAAAAAACAAGACCGATTCTCACCATAATTTATGTGCAGATATATAGAAATAGAATAAAAATATGAGAGGGGGAACTCACTATATTTTTTATTTACTTCATGTCATAACTTTGCCTCATTCATTGGACACATTCCGTAACCTATTGGGAAAAAAAACATGACCGATTCTCGCCCAGATTTAGGTGGAGGTCGATAGAACATATAACCATATTCTGAAAATATAAGAATAATATTAACGTCAGAAGCCTAAGCCTAGTTGCTATAAGGACCGACTTAAATCAACATCTTTCTCCTGAGCGAGCTCTAGCCTGAATTCATGTCGGGAGGTTCACAGAGAAAACTCCAGGATTCAGTTTCAACAACCTAACACAACAGTCAGAAAATGGCAACATACGCGCCTAAGGGCAAAAATTCTCTCCCATATGGTTGTTCGTGTAGCTGATTTGAATATGAGTCAGGTTGCGAGATTTTTTTTCATTGGGGCATTGGTCCAAGGTTTGTTTGCCAGGTTTCCAAGTTTTTTTTCCCTTATAATTAACACATGAAGGAAAAGGATGCGGAAAGAGCTGTTTCTCTGATTATCAATAAATTACCCAGTTTACCCTTAAAAAAATAGATAAAAATATTTACGAATTATAGTTCCTTCAACCGCCACAACCATCAATTCAATGGCTCTATTCATTTCAATGTACAGTAAATCCTTTGCGCCGGAGTCGGTGATGGTGTAGTGGTACACTCGCCTGACTTGTGAGTGGGCAGCACGGAATCGATTCCCACTCAGTGACGGTATGGATGTGGGTCTGAATGGTTGTTTGACTCTATATGTGCCCTGCGACTAACTGGTGACCAGTTCAGGGTGTGGTCTGCCTTCCGCCCGAAGTCTGCTGGGATAGGCTCCAGCACCAGGATAAGCAGTGTTGAAAATGGATGGTTTGGTGAATGTTTTGCCCCAGTGGGACGCTTCAGCCGGGTTTCCAAAACATTTAGCGGCAGCATTGATTTATGAGTAAAGCTGCGGGTACACATGGTCGATACAAAAAAATAAAAATTAAAACATTTTTTAAAAACATACAGTACACGAGGCATTACATTCGCTTGAACATATTAACAAGGCTGTTTCAAAGGAAGAGTGATCGCTGGATGATTATTGCTGTCGTCCCTCCTCGGCAAAAGTGATCTATGGCATGTCGCACATTCCCCCAGTGTGAACTGTTTACTTCACTGTAAAATCGTGAGAATAACCAGAGAAATGACTGATTGGGAAGCGCATGAAAGATAGGGTTAGAAATCGGGAGTCTCCCTTGAACGTCTGAATCTGGAAAGTTGGCAAGTATGAACTAGTATTAAAAAAGTAATAAATATAATTACGGCGCCCCGGTAGTCGGTGGTTAGCACTTCGACTTCACAGTGCAGAGGTACCAGGTTCAATTCCAGCTCCGGCCTTCCTGTGTGGAGTTTGCATGTTCTCCCCGTGCTGCGTGGGTTTTCTCCGGGTCCTCCGGTTTCCTCCCACATTCCAAAGACATCCATGGCAGGCTGATTGAACACTCCAAATTGTCCCTAAGTGTGAGTGTGAGCGCGTGTGGTTGTTCGTTTCTGTGTGCCCTGCGATTGGCTGGCAACCGGTTCAGGGTGTCCCCCGCCTACTGCCTGAAGACAGCTGGGATAGGCTCCAGCACCCCCCACGACCCTAGTGAGGATGAAGCGATTCGGAAAATGAATGAATGAATGAATAAATATAATTACAAAAAACTCGAGAGCTCCGGACGTTGACGACATGCACACCACCTTGCCCTGTGCCGAATGAGGAAATGCCACACTTTAGCAGTCAGTGTCAGAACAAGAGAGGAGAAGAGAAGGGACAAGGATTCTACAGGCTACCAAAAGAAGACCCAAGATGGAGCGCTTGCGGTCAGCTCTTCAGCGCCTCTGATGAAAAATGTAACACAATCAAGGCAAGAGCACGTCAAATGGCTAGATTACTAACTCTGTGGAAGTCATACAAGTATGTGCCCATGCGAAGGTTTTAAATGTTTATCTTGGCCCTTTTGGTTGTGGTGATATTCAAAGGCAGAAAAAAAATGGTTGAATGCTCAGACCTTATGTATTATCTGGATCCATATACTTTAAAATATTGACTTCTTTCAGATGATAAAACAAATGTATTTCTTTGTTGGTCCAAGTACATCAATCATCCAAATGCAGTAGTTCTGTTTTCTTTAGTATTGATAAACAAACTAGATTTTACAGTCTTGGGGCTCTATCATCAGACAGCACAACTGCGCTCCAGCAGAAAACCTGGTGTATCCTGATTTTCATGCCGATGCAATCCTTGATGTGCTTGTTTGGGACTTTGAATCAACTCTCTGCGCCTTGCTGGGAGTTCTGACGTGCCGAAGGCATTTCCTTCAACGTGCACCTGACAATTTCATAGCTGGAAGTACTCTAAACCTTATTCCTGGAACCATATCTCACAATTGTTGTAGGCAGGGAGGCAGATTCTGAGCTGAATGGAAAAATGATGCATGCCATCGTATTTGATTCATAAATATGACAACTATGTGCATCGAACTCTCTGAATCATTGCTGACCTCAATTCATTGAATGCATTACTATTATCATCTTTATTATATTTTTTATAAATCAACCCACTGCCTGCGGCACAGGTGCGGGGGATGGCGGGGGGTGCGGGCCTGGGGCTGGAAGTGATCGGTCTCACATGGGCAGTACGATCAGGGTGGAAGGCAGTATCCAAGTGCCCATTTCACAGATCTCTGATCTCCATCATGCCAATTTTACATCATCTACCCATGGAGGTCTGCTTGCGGTTACATACGAACGCACTTTATCTCCTCAGTTTCTCCATCCACCATGGCAGGGACTGGGAGCCACAAATTCAGTCCTCTGTATTCACGCCCACAATGGCGCCCTTTTTGAAATGTGGCACTCACTACACCCACTTGCATAGCTCTACAAGTATACCAATACTTGTTCTCGCCCACCTCTGCTCGGATTTAGACTGTGCCCAGTGCAAGACTTGTATAGCCATGAAAAACGAGCCCTTATGGGCTTTGTTGTAAAACATCACTTCTGTTGCTCTTGATGACTTTAGCAAGTGACGAGCATGTGAAAAACATCTTCAAATTGTATCTGAAATGTTTCTACCTTTGGACTAGTTCATGGCAATCACTGGTTCCATTACGTTCAGAGATGTGCGGAAATACGGAGTGTATCTGTCGCCCAGCACAATGAGTGTAGGGGACCACACATCCATGTTATGTCTGCCAGGACTCTACCAGATTTGGCTGCCGCTGCTATGAGGACCTCACAGAAAGAAGTGAAATTAGTTGGCCAGCTAATCCTGTGGATCAGGCTTTTGTGACTGGGGCAGGTTGGGCTCTGTTTGGTGAGGGTTTAACTCTCTGGGAGCGGCTCGAAATCATCAGCAGGGTTTAAAAACAGACTCCACAGGGCCACCAGCAAAACCAATAAGAGCCAAGCTGTGGCTGTTATCTGGCAGTAAACTGACACTGGCTAAGCTGTCACTTAAGGCCAAAGTCTAAAACACAATACAGAGGAAAGGGCAGCCCTTTTTAGAGCAACGCGCTTCCCAACAATGGGAGCAATCTGACTGATAATGTGCTGACAAACCAGACTTTTTCCAGGTCAGCTTCACGGAGGAGTTTATTATGCAAGGCTTTTAAACAAATAACCTAGCTCATGTAATCTTCTGACTGAAAATGTACTTTCACAATATGCATGGACATAGAAAACATTTTTACGTCATTTGACACTCATTCATCTTTAAAAAAAAAAAGAAAAAAGAGGAGAGCCTCTGTTGTCTGCCCTGCAGGAAATAGTAACACAACTTATTTTAAGAAGCTTAAATTTATTTATAAAAACATTCATTAAAATTCCAGTTGATGTAATTACATTAGAGCAGCAGATAATGATGCCAACATTTAAAAATTCACTTTTAATTTCTTTGTTGATGATGTAAAAAAAAAAAAAAAGACAATTTATTTCCATCTTTATTTTTAATTCAAGTTTCTGGTACATGGTATAAGAAATAATACAGTGTACTAGCATTCTGTGGTATAGCAGAATGCCTATGATTATTTTGTTATTTGTCATGAGTTCAATTTGTGAATTCATACATGAACACTCATTATGCTCTTCAGAAGAGGTATCCTTAAATTGATTTTTGTGTCATTCTGCCCATCAAGGATATGTTCCATGTATTTTCTTTGTGGCCAGTGCCCTTTGATGGAAGAATGAACACTAAAAGATATAGTTGTTGTGTTAGTAATGTTAAAGTAATGTCAAATTTGTGGTAGTGTGCTTCAGCCCAGAATAGTTTTACTTTGAGACTTAATAGTTAGGGTGTCAAACCATGCATTGCCTACGTCAGCAATTATGTTAATCTCCCTAAATTTCAACATGGCGGCGCGAGGACGCAGCGGCCCGGACGGATCTCTCTCCCCCGTCGTGGACTTTTTTATATTTCACGATACACTTGGGGGTGGAGGTTCCTGCAAAATCTCGTTGTAACAAGTGTGCAAAGTGTGCAATGACAATAAAGTATTCATTCATTCAACTCGTGGACGCAACAACCATTATGCGTTCTTGCAAAAGTTCATGAGATTCAAAACAAGAAAAATATAAAACACGATGAAGCTCCGTTTTATCGAATAATGTTCTCTTTACAAGTTCGCTATTATTGTAGTTGGAGTTTACATTTGGTTATATTGACTAGATGTGACGACACTAAATGCATTTCTGCTGAATACCGAGGTGGCCTGCGCGTGCAGACAACCCAAGTTAGTTATTCTTCTGTATTATTCCGCAGAACTTTTGACATAAATTATTCGATTTGATATCTCCTTGTGCTCAGCTCCAAACATGAGTCACGCACTATCACGGACAAGAATGATTCGTTTCCTTCTGTCAGACGCGCTCCCGATAATACTTTTATTTTGCTTTTAAAACACAACGTCAAGTGTAATTAGATGTAAACCGGGCGAAATACTATTCCCTCACCTATATTATCTGATTCGTCATCGAATTTATTACTTTCTTAAAAAATATTTACAATAACACCAGATCAAACCGAACAGGACACCGTGTGTATACTGCACTCCCGCAGGCTCTTTTGCGACAAAATTCCATATTCGGAGTCGCGAGAAATACCTTGTGCTTAATTACCCATCACCTGACCATGAGAGAGACCACAAACAACGGAGTGTCCAATTATTGAGGATTAGGGGATATGTGCTTGGCTCATGCTGTCCGGACGCATTTAATTCCAGTCTATGCATTTACAAGCAAGATAAATAGCGCGTATTTATCATGGGCTGTCATTACACTACATCGCTGGATGGATTTATAATAATAATAATAATAATAATCATAATAATAATAATAATAATAATATAGTATAATAATAATCCAGGGTATGGCACCTTTGTCTGAACTGGCCCACTGAATATCATCACATCCGCTAAATAATTCAACGCTCTGCAATTAATTCCAAGCAGAAGTGTGAGGACAAACTGAATTGAATTGACTTGGGAATAAGGAAAATTAGTCATAATGTGCACGGAGCATTTTATACGACAATGGACCAAATTTGGTTCAATTGGAATTTGATTTCCCCCAGCCATTCAATGCAGAAAAATGTAATCGTGAGATCTCACTACCTTTATTTTATTGCTATTGCATTATTTCTTAATTATTTATGATGAACGCAAAATGAGAATGGCTGTGGCGTTTTAGTTGGGCATCCATCCGTTTTCGATGTACCGTTTATTGGGATAACTGGCGCATACTCCAGATTACGTGAGGCACAGCCAAAACCCAAGTATGACAATTAGCGCTTTCACGTGTAATTTTATTTCTGAATTTGCAATAATCATCGGATGTTCACGTTCATGACGATAACAAACAAGGGATAATTGTCATGTTTTCATTAATTATTAATGCAAATAGCGCTGTTGTTGTATCGAAACTCTAGTCTATAATACACATTCTATTATTTCTAAAATTCTACACTTTTGCAACAGTTATTTTTGTTTGTTTTTGTTTTTTGGACCCAAATTCAATAAAGCAGTGAAAGAGTACTTACCACTACTCTCTTGGCCTTTACATCCCTGGTCGTGCTGCGGTGTTCCAGAGTCGGAGAGCGACAGCGCCGGGCTGCGGGCATCACTATCCGTCAGGAGGTTAAAATCCATAACCAGGCTCTGCACACGGACACGCAAAATACACGTTGAATTCCACTGTCAACAATTGTTTTAAGATTACCGAGGTACACTATCCGTCACAATTTTTTCTACATTTGGCATTAACTCAATCACTGCCAGCCCTCCCATTGTTTTGTTATTGATCTAGCTGCCTATCAGCGGCACTGAATGAGTTAAAAAGAAATCAATTAATCAATAGAAACCATTATTAATAATAATATCATTATTATTATTATGACTATTATTATTATATTACTTTGTTGTTCATTTTACTAAGAATTTTTTTATTGTTTCCACTCCCACTTTGTGGTGACGTCATGAACAGAGCGAGACCTGTCAGTGACTATTTTAGGCTAACATGGAAAGCAATTTATTGCTGTTGGATTTCAAGACCAATTGGCAAGCTGATGAGACATCTTCTTTCACAGAGCTCCCAAAATAACTAATGGTTAATTTTATTTATTGCAGCGTACTTAACACCTTGAATACATGGGCTTTGGGGATGGCAAGTGTTGTATAGAAAATGTACTACGATATGAAGTGCAACGTGTGCAAAGTCTTAAATGCTGTATACCACTCCCCCCCCCCCCACCCCCAAGACACAAAATCTGTTTTATAGTACAAACAATAGGAACTTGGGGTGGGGGGGTCACCTCAAGTCAACCTTGTCACAATTTACCCTCCTTTCCATGCATAAATGTTGAGGTTGTATTTCAACCTCTACCGGATATTTGGATATGGGCAGTCTCTGTGTGGCAGTAGGGTTGTGGTTACAGCTTTCTTACTTAGAAGTAGTAAATTTAGATTCCAGGAAAGGCTGGACTGTATTTGTCTCCGCCTCCAACCATCCAGCCCCACTGCTGTAGAGATGGCGCTACACCACTGTGATTGCAGGCCATGCTCTTGGCCATATGTATGTCCGTCATCCCCACATACAGCTCCCATGGTACACAAAGGTGGGGGTAATTTAAGGTTCACTGCGCTCTGAATTTATACACACACGTGTACACCTTATTTTGACCTTTGACCCAAAGAAAACTGATGTTTATATGAATGATTGCATATGTCGAATCTACTATTTCCTTGGGATTAAATGGACAAATTATTGGGCGTTTTGCCCTCATAAACATCCCACATAGTTAACATGGAAGTAAATATCAACCCATTTGAAGCTTTCAGTCTTCAGGGAAGACTTTCTTATATTAAGTTATTTTTAGACCCCCCATCAAGTGTTTGAGGGAATATATATCACGTTTTTCCACACCAAACTCATCCACTTTTCTTTGTGCATTAGGGCACAGTCACATTGGAACAGAACACTGTTGCCACAATTGGAAATGTCAGAGGAATTAAGTGGTCTAGTCCACTGATGACTAATTACCATAGAGGTGTCTTCGTTTAATTGTGTCTATATAGGTGTCTATGGCTATGAGACAGCCAATTGCCAAACAGGCAATCTCTGCAGGGTGACCCCACCTCTCGCTCAATGTCATTGAATAAGCTCCGTTGCCTTCTAAAACCTTGCACAAGATCAACACCAGCCAGAATAGATGGTTGGATACGCCCACCGCCTTTTGAACATCATTCCACAATATGTATACTTCACATCAGGGTTGCCCATTGCGTAGCTTGCGACCAGTAGCTCACCAATTGTTGGTCGATTGCATGGCATTAACTCAAGTCACACAGACCTCCCTTTTTTGCTATTGATAGAGCTGCCTGTCAACGCAGTGAATGATTTAACAAAGA